TTGATCCTTCCATTTTCTAATGTTTCTGTCGAACGCATATTTTAGTAATCTTCGCAACATAAAAACAGAGAATCGGAATAAATTAAAAAGTGATACCCCTACAGCTATACTATATTCGAAGCAGGGCATAGAAAAAGCAGGAGGTGTGGTTCATTTTGAACCAAACGAAAGTATGTTAAACAAAAATATTTGGGTTGAAAAAGAAACTTAGAATCATTAATTACAGACGTACCCTCTGTTTACCTTACAAAAATAGATAAGATCCACTTTTTATACTTAATAAGGATTTGACATTTCCTATATTTGTATAAAACACATCGTTTTTAATTTGGTATGTTATAGTGTAGAACAGTAGTAGCCTCTGTGCTGTATGTATAATGTTTGTATTTGTATGATAAATATAGCTAATGTATATTATGTACCTTGTATTATTCGAATAAGGCTTGTAAAATGTTTATAAAAAATTGGAAGTAAGATTACGGTTTTCGTTTTTGCCATTTTACAGTCGCATGTGGGGAATTGTGGGGAATTTGACTTGTCATGGTGGGGAGAACGGCGGAAAGCCATTGGCAACACTGGTTGTATATCAACATTGGATCGCCAGATTTGGATGTCCGACACAGCTTACAAGTGACCAAGGACGTCAATTTGAATCAAATTTATTTCGCAACTTAATGGCAATTATGGGAATCGACAAAATTCGCACTACTCCTTATCATCCACAAAGTAATGGAATCGTAGAACGTTTTCATCGTACACTGAAAACGGCACTCAAAATTAGACTTAATTCCACCCACTGGACCCAACATCTACCAGTCGTTCTTTTAGGATTACGCACAGCTCTCAGGGACGATATTGGAGTAAGTCCTGCACAACTCACATACGGGACTAACATCCGCCTTCCGGGAGAATTTTTCAGTTTTACGGAAAATAGAAGGCTGGACAGCAACTACGTCACGAAGATACAAGAAGCAATATCACGCATTAAACTTCCATCACGACGTTCACAAGTAGCGACTCATGTATGTACCTAAGGCTGTAGAAAAATGCAATCAAGTATTTGTTCGTAATGACGCCGTACGAAAACCTTTGCAACCACCGTACGACGGGCCTTACAAGGTCATTGCAAGAGAATCAAAATTTTACAAATTGCAGTATCCGAACGCGATTAAAGTAATATCCGTTGACAGATTAAAATCTGCATATTTAATGGCAGATTTTGTCCTTCAGGATATTTCGCCAGTAACAAAAATAGCAAGTGAATATACAACAAGGTTCGGCCGCACTGTTAAAACCGTGCGTTTTAACTAGCGGGGGAGCTATATGCCTACTGCATATCGTTTAAATAATTATTGATAAAAACAAGTTAGTTACCTAGATTTGGTTTTGTTATTATATAATTATATTTCACACCCAGTCCTCGATATCACATAACTGTAGTACGCCCCTGTCCTGCCACGCTCACAATTTTTAAAGATGTTTTACTTCCCCCGCCTCGTCCCACTACCTACGGCGTACGGCGTGGTGTGGTAGGTACTTCATTCGCCTCGTTGTGCTGAACGCGCTCGTTTGTATGTTATTTACGTGAGTATTTAATTCGCTCCAACGCTCCTTAGGCTTTCCAAAATTAATTTCCGAAAAGAAAACATCGTTTACGGTTTATATCGGGTTAAACACGTGAGTATTTAATTCGCTTTAACGCTTTTTAGGCTTTCGAAAGGTAAAATGCCGAAAAGAAAACATCGTTCACCGTCGGGTGACTCAGTTATGGAACAGTATTCTAATAAAGAGCTGCTGTCACGAATTCTAAAACTCGAAAAAAAGATCCATAAAAAGAAACACCGTGACCGCAGTCGCGCTAAGGACAAGCGCTCACGCAGCCCTTCGCATGCCTCAAGCAGTCATGGAAGGGTACGTTCCGAATCTAAAGCGCGCCAGGGAAAGAGAATCGGCGTAGCCACGGTCGACCCTCTCGCAGACGCTTACGTAGCCCTTCGCATGACTCGAGCAGTCATGGAAGGTCACCTTCTCGGTCTATTATTAGCGCCTCGCGAATTTCTAGCGAGTACGAAAAATCACCACGGGCAAGGAACGCTTCCTCACCGGATATTCGCAATCTTAACGACTCGCATTCTCGCGGTTACAGCACTTGCCGATCCCCGGGCGGGACGGAGGTTGCATTAGATAAGGCAGTACATTCTCGCAGCAGAATGTCGCCGTCTAAACAAGCGGCAATTTCTTCGCAGGACCACAATTGTCTTATTATCGAAAATGACGAAAATCTACCAGAGGAGCTTTCAAGTATCTTGGGGGAGAATCCTACCATTGATACAAAAGGCACGTTCGCCTTACACGACGCTATACGTCTGAGGTGGGATCATATCCTAAAACAAGACTGTCTGACCCCGAGCTCGAAAGAATCAAATCCCGGTACTTGAAATCGTCGAACTTGAACTTGGAAGCTCCGGTCGTCAATCCGGAAATTTCGACAATTCTTTCTAAACCAAACCTAACCCGAGATGCGTCACATTCGAGTTATCAGAACCAACTGGGTTTGGCTATGGCGGAGCTCGGTAGAGCACTGAATTTGGTTCTAGAGGAGGAAAGTAACATTCCTAAGCAGGTCAAAAACGACCTCTTACAGAATTTAAGCGACTCTGGGCGTATGCTAGCAAGCTTGTTCCATAACATATCTTGCGTACGGCGTACTGTTATTTATCCCCTCCTAAACAAAAACATGAAAGATTTGACGGAAAAAACCCAGCCCTTCGGAGGTCTGCTGTTTGGACCAGACCTGCCGTGTTGTAGTAAGTAATCACTCTATACTCTGTTTTTTAACTAGGAAGACGGATTTAAAAACCTGATTTACACTGGAAATGTCACTAGAATCTAGTAACAAAAATAATACTCATTTTATACAGACATGTATTGTGGGTTGCGTGATGAGATTTTCTTTCACATTTGGATAGATTTCATGATTTATGCTTTTGGGTTGTTATTTGGTAGGAACTCCTTTATATTATGCATACATCATACTTTTAAAAGCGAATTATAATAAATAGGTAATACATTGATAATAGGTAATCATCCTGCATACATTTTTTGGTCTTTGAAACATTATTTTGAATTATAATTTTAAATGTTTTTATCAGTTGTAATACTACACAATCCACATTACAATTTACAACGAATGTTAATGTTATTGAACAAATTCAGAACAATGGAATTATAGTCATATTATTAAACAGTACAGTTCACTGCTTTATGTATAAGCAATTTAGTCACCGTCTTCCGAAAGTTCACTAAAACTGTCACTATCCTCCGATCCGAGTGAAATAATTAATGGTTCTATAAGTGTGTCCATTAGGCCATCCAATCTACACATCTTATTTTCTTCCTTAGTAACATGCTGCACACAATTCCGCCAATCGTCAGAGCTCACATTTGCAACAGCGTTATGACCACCGGAACGTTTCGAAGGGGTAACAATCCCAGTACTTCGATATTCTTTAATTATCCGGTATATTGTAGATCGTACAATAATAATATTCCTAATATGTGTCACACTTTAATAACCGAATAATATACCAGCTACATCATTATTTACGTTACCTCTGGTAGAAGCAAACTTCAACACAAGCGTAGCAAAATTCATATCCGTGGATCAGACAACATTATTGTTTATGTGTTTATGTGTTTATAATAAACTGCTTCTTGGAGACTGATAAAATGACCCAAGTTTAAGCGACTACGTTTTTTCAAAGGAGACAAGCTTGCTTTACTGGTAGGTACCTACTTGGAGTTGAATTCATCACTAATGCCAGTACACTTAGGACGCGAAATATCAACTTTTGTTCTTAAAAGAAGTTTTTTTTGTTAAAATTTATGCAAATGGACTCAGAACACAGAAAAACTCAAAAATAAGTAGGGGAATGGTAGTAACAGTGAGACGCAAAAATTTAATGTCAAATATTACATTTATTTTCATAGATATTTGCTTAGAAATTTAACTTAGCATATGTTACCGTATTAAGAACTTACCCGTAGACCCAAATCAGGGATAAAATAAAAAAGAAACTATTGAACAAAAATGAAAAAAAAATGTAACTGTCTTACTGTTCTATCCAATGGTCGGAACATTGAGACATTGTTGAGTGGGTACTAATACTTAACAAAATTGTGAGAAATTTGTTCTTAACTAGTTTATATTTAGATTTAAAAAGTTTACTTCGAACTTTATCAAAGAAGTCTGTCTTTTTGTCAGTCCTTGCGTGATAGGTGGGGGCAAAATCATTTTTATGTCTTCTTTAGGAACCAGTGCGATATCTGGAACATTGGGCATTAGGAACCTGTCATCGGATTTTGCGCTTTTACGCATGAAGGATATTTCGTATTCATTGTTAGCTTTCCCAGACAGGATCTTCCCTACATAGTAGACTTTTTGCTTTGAATTAAACTCAATAACCACATAATCGTTTTCAACTGGCTGACGATTAAGTTCTCCAAAATGTAGTGGTTCGGGTTCGTAATCTTCAATAAAATCTTCCCCTTCGCTAGAATCTTGTAGGTGCATCTCTTCTTCGGCAGTTCCATCTTCGGAATCGCTATCATATATTTTTCGTTTATGTTTCTGTGCTTTTGGTGCTTTCTCTTTTACCTTCATTAATTCTAATTTCTCTGGAGTATCTGTCGCAATCATTGTTCTCCCTTTACGCCTTCTTTTGTTTTGGTCAGATTTTCTTGGAGGTGCCTTAGGATATCCTTTAAAATCAACTGGACTTATAAAATCATGCTTTGTCGTTTGTGGAGGGGTTGAATGTTCAACGGAAGTAGACGCGATATTTTCTTTGTTTTCAGAGGCATTGCCCACACCTTCGATAATCACCTCCCTATCCGTCACTGAACTTGGCATAAAATCTTCTTCGTTAAACACGTGTCTATCAAACGGGAAAATTCCTGTTTTTCTGAACGAATTTGCAATATTTGTCGGAGTCATTGCTCTAGGATGCAGCTACGTTATATATAGTAAATGTTTGCCCCGGATGAGCCATCATCCAGGAGTCTAAAGCAGCACTGTAGAAGGTCTGAAATGGTTTTAACAATCCCACGTCTAACGGCTGCAATTTGTTTGTGCAATGTGGTGGTATAGTCAAAATGGTAACTCCGCTGTTTTTACACAAATCTATTGATTGGATTGATAAGTGACTTTGGTGATTGTCCATTATTAGCAAAGAAGGGTTGTCGACAGAACTACTAGTATGCTTGATGAAGTGTTTAACAACTTGTATAAAACATTCTGTGGTCATCCAGCCCGTCTTTGATGCCAAACCCAAACACCCTGGGGGTGCGCCATTGATCATGAAGTCCTTGAAATGGACCCTAGGAAATATCATTACGGGAGGAATGCTGATTCCGGAGGCACCCACGATACAACATGTTGTTACCAGAGTACCGCGTTCGGCACTAGTCGCCTTGCTAACTTGCCGAGATCCTTTCTCTGCAAATACTTTATGCTGTTTTTGGACAGTCATGGAACCCGTTTCGTCTAAATTAAAAATTCGACTGCCGTCGCCAAATCTGGGATTGCGTTTGAGGACTTCTTCGAGCTTGGAAAAAAATTGTTCGACATTATATTTGTTAAACCCTGTCGCTCTAGATAAACTGCAGCCTTCAGGAGTCCTTAGTGAAAGATTCGGGTGACGTTTCTGGAAGCCCTTTATCCAAGATAAAGTTGCACTTTCGTTGAATCGCCAGGTTTCTGGAACCGGAAGTTGATTTTTCAATGCCATTTCATATGCCAAACGGCGTGTGTCGTCGCGCGATAAGCCATAAAACATTTTAGAACATGATACAATATAATCACATAATATCTTCTCTTGTTCATCAGTAAAAATTTGGCGAACTTTATAATTTGGACATAGTCGACTATCAGGGTTCTGCTGAAACTTCTTCACGTATCTATGCACTGTTTGGAAATGCAACCCGTGCCTGTCAGCAGCTTGGCGTATACTACTGCCTTCTAACACTAGTTGAACAGCTTGTTTCATTGCAGTTTCTGAAAATTTGCCAATTTTTTTGTCGGTTTTATTTTTTCTAGGCATCCTGTAATTCGCAATAAAAAAAAACACATATTGCATAGGTACAGTGAGATATACAGTAGGAACAGTGAGACAGTCTTAGTGTTCCGACCCAACTAATGTCTCACTGTTCCTACATGACGTCATTTGTAAGAAATGAAGATAACTTATTAAAAACAAAAGAAATACCAGTCTAGAACACCATTTTGCATTCCAAACAAACCAACATTTATAATAAAAATACTTACCTTAAATACGCAGCTCAACTGTTCGTAAAACACGTGGTATATGACAACAGAAATTTTTACTGTAAAGCGCACAATGTGATGAGACGCAATAACTTTGCCGTCCTTTAATCGCCGATCGGCAAAGTTCGGTTGAGCATTTATCAGAGTCGTATTCACCCGTATTTACTTTTTTCAGCGCTAATTTTAAAACGTACTTGATTATAGGTGAGATGTCTCATTGTTCTGACCGTCTCACTGTTACTACCTCTCCCCTACAACAGTTACGGACGAGAATCGCAATTAAATTTGACAGTTAAATCATGTCAATTGTAAAACGGGCGCAGCGCGACCCAATAGAAACTAAGATTTTTTGCGGGAACTTTTAAATCCGTCTTCCTCTTAGACCATATAGTACATGGACTGCTAATTGTAACTAAAATATGGTCAAGGACATCGCCTGGGTATGTGAGTTTCAGGGTAAACGAGTCTGTCCGAAGTTGTACGATTAGAAACGATTTGACACTGTCAACCTATAAATTAACAAACGTCAATTGATTAATCGCCTAGATATCCCCACAGCCGTCTATAATTACAAGCCGTGCTGAGAATTATGGCAACACTGCGTGGTAGGCCGATTTCCTAATTCAAATTGACAGATTTCAGGTGTATTTTATGTGTATTTTGGGTGTAATATTCCTTTTTACCTGTTTTAACAGAGCCAGATTGCGACAATTTGTGTTACTCCGTACGGAATGAACAGAAATTATTATTCAGGTAAGTTGCTAAACGAAATATATCGATTTCTTGTCATAACCTCTAAAGCAGGCTACTCCTTAGTGGACGCTTTACAAGCACTTGTATTTGTTCAAAGTACCTGTAGGAGCTCAAATATGACCTACACACTACGTGGTACGTAAGTACCGTAAGTGTTTATCGTGAAAGAATACAATAATTATTATATTAGTTGGTATTTCAGATATTCTATTACGGACATGTCACGTCGATTTTCTGATTCTGAAGGAACCTTCCGACTTATTCCCAGGACTATACGGTACGGGAATTTGAAGTCTACGGGGCTTCCCTCTTTAAAAGCTTCGTACCTAGACCCACTGGAGTACCGACTGGCTTAAAATCTGCCATTCCGAATCACACCTGGTCGTTGATAAAACCTCGCTGCTGCACAGCGATTTACTGTCCTTTTGCCGAAATTAAGTGTCCAAGCGTGTGCTTCACCTTGACCTCTTTCGACAGAAGTTCACCAATTTCGGAGATCTCGATGGAAAACACATTATGATGCAGTTACCAATTTACAGCGTTCCGAATTTTAATGTCAAATAAAAATGTTATTATCCACTTTTGTAATTAAATAAAATATATGTACAATTGTAAGCTGCTTAAGTATCTTTCTTCTGTATTAAAACCACCAAGGCGAAACACAGGAGAGAGGAAAAATGCAATTTTTCAAGAGCAACAAGACGCCATTAAAATTATATCGGCCCACCAATTGACTTTCGGACAATGTTGCCAAACTTCTCAGCATGGCTTGTAATTATAGACGGCTATGATATCCCAAAAAGAGCAAACTTATCTTTATTTGTGGACGTGTAGAAGATAATCAAGGGTATTTAAAGCTTCCCGTACTACGTGGTGACTATAAAAGCTACTCTTTACGCGATCCGAGTGGTGTTTAAACGACTTTAGTTTACCCTGAGATTCACATACCCACGACTACAGTGCCCTCTATCCGTGACCACCCATTTTGTATTGAAAGCATAGGGCGAATAGCAGTCCATGTACTATATGGTCTAAGGTCTTCCTAGTTAAAAAACAGAGTTTAGATATAAGGGAGTCGGTAAGTTAGGGAACTGTTGGTTCAACTAGATTTAAGGTACGACACGCTTTTATGCGGGATGTTAATAAACAGTTAATCTTAACTAATCCTATTTTCTTCACTCCAACGTCTCCTATTCGGCTACGACAAAGACCCCCTTAGTACATGGTGGCAGCGCAGAAGTGGTTGTGTACAGTATTTTCGGGGTGTGTCCAGTATCAATAAACTAGAAGACACGTGTTTTCCTCATCATGAACTCCGATGAAATAGAACCAATAGAACCGGTGGTAAGCCCCCCATTGCAATCACCTACTCAGAAGGGGGTTCCGAGAAATTTAATTTCAAAAATGGGTGCAATGGCGGAAGAGATTCGAGCGCTACATGATCGTTAGTAACTTATACACCAATCCGGACGAGTTCAAAATAAATGTGTTGCTGTACACAATGGGTGAAGAAAGTGAGGAGATTCTATTACAATTCAACTAGATCGGATTGGAGCTCGCGTCGCTCGCTCCTACCGATCACGGCGTTTTGTTATCACACGCGGTTTTTTGTGGTTTTCAGTTTGTAAATTTTTTTTTAGCTCGACCGTCGTGCGATTGTAGTTTGGGTTGTTTGTAAGTGACGTTGGAATTTTATAAAATGCGAAAAACAAAGGAAAATAATTTTGATTCGGCTCAAAAAAGCACCAATATATCGATAGTCTTTTTTTTTAGTCAAACTCGGCGTATGTGTGGGTAAAAATGCTACGCATTTTAAGACTTCGCTAGAGTGAGTATATTTTGCAGAGATATCGCCGAAAAGGGGGATAAGTTTTTTGGAACATCATCTATACAAAGTAATTTTTTTAAAATTTCGATTCAACTTGTTAAATCCAGATCCGCACATAAGATTCTTTAATTTTGATAACATTTTTTGGTTGTAATGTAATGAGATATACGCTCGGCTCCGCCTCGCCTCACTGTGATTTGTAACGGTGTATAGTTCGGCTTCGCCTCGTACTGGTTACTGTTCAACAAAGACAATTTTTCAGTTTCAGTTTTGTTGTGGTAAGAAAATGATATTGAGCAGATTGAATTGACATTTTTTTTGTATTTGTGAAGAATATTTTTGTTTTTTGGAAACATATGCAAAGTTTTTCGAAAATTTCGATTCAACTTGTTGTTTCCAGTTCCTAACATAATTGCACATAAGATTTTTTTAAATTTTGGTTAACACTTTTTGGTTTTGAGGAAAGGCCTCACTATAATTCGTAACGGTGCATAGCTTGGCTTCGCCTTGCATTGTTCACTGTTCAACAAAGACAATTTCTCAGTTTCAATTTTGGTGCGGTAAGAAAATGCTATTGAGCAGACTGAATAAACATTTTTTTTTAATTTTTGAGGAATATTTTGGTTTATTGAACAATAATTAGCTTCATTTATAATTTTTGTTTGAATTTGTCTTTTAAAAAAGTTAAAAAAAATTGTCTTAAATCTACAAATAACCTAATGTCCCAAGCGAAGGGATGGTCTGTGATGCCGAACTCGTCCTCGGCTCGTTTGGAATTGATGTGAAAAAGTGTAATGTGCGATTGGCCATCGGTAAATGTAGTTTGCCACCCTGGACGTAGAGAGTCTAAGGGAGGGCCATTGGTATGAGACGTGTGTGTTAAGAATCGAAAGTCTTTGATTATGTTACTTGGTTGGGAAAATGGTTATTAAAAATTTTTGTTTGAATTTTTAGTTCAAAGTTAAAAAAAATTTCATAAATCTACAAATAACCTAATGTCCAACGCTGCTTGTTGTCATATTCAATTTAGTTTCATTTTTTGTTTGAATTTGTATTTCAAAAAAGTATATATATAAAAGATTTGCACTGTTCAACAATGATAATTTCTCAGTTTCAGTTTGGTAAGAAAATGCTATTGAGCAGATTGAATTAATATTGAATTTGTGAGAAATATTGTTTATGAAAACATCACTTACACAGTGATTTTTTAATGAAAATTTCTTATTCAAATTGTTGAATCCAGATCTGCACATAAGATTTTAAATATTATTATTGTACTATTGGGTTATCACAATTAGGATTTTTTTTTAAATAACAAACGCATTAGGTAATATTATCTTCCGTAAGATCAATATTGAATTCCATGTGTGAATCGTACTGTAGTCTTCTGTTTGCTGTTCATTATAATTTGTAGTAGCCTCATAGCGTTTTCGACTTACTGCAACTTTTTTACATGTTCGACTATAATAGCTAGCAACGAATGCAATTTTACGTCCTTAAGTCGAACAGATATAAGAAAGTTGCACTGTGGTAAGTCGAAAATAATGCAGACGTAGTGTGCACTAATGCAGTAAGTCGAAAACGCTATCAGATGATATTGTATAAATAGTAGGTAAAATAAAAAACAATAAAATAAATATTTAATTATATATTCTATAAATATTTATTCGTTGGTCTATCGCACAAAGGTGTTAAGTGAAAAATATGTAATATATACTTACAAAAATAACTAAAATTTAACATTTCAACATTTATTATCCCTCTCTTGTTCTGGGCCCTCAACAGGCTTGCACCCAATTACAGAGTGACTCGCATAATGCTTGTTAGAGGTGTATTAATTGCTGTATCATTTAAAATAAGTTTTGTTTTTTAACGAATTATTTTTTTTTAACTACACAACTGTTTGATAATGCAATTGAAAAAATTTGAATAAACTGTTTGATAATGCAATTGAAAAAATTTGAATAAACTGTTTGATAATACAATTGACAAAATTTGAATAAACTGTTTGATAATGCAATTGAAAAAATATTACTTAACACCTGTGTACGATAGACCGACGTATTAAAGTTATAGAACTTGTAACTTTTATTAGGTAAGTATTATTTGTTTCTTCCTGCAATTAAAAATGAGAAAAATCACAAATTACGTTTTCAATTCTGTTTATTTTGACAACAACTCAAAACAAGTTTTTTGTTACTATATTGTAATATAACTTGATTTTTAATCAAATTGCGCTAACATAGCCGGCCGCATTAAACGATTCGTTTAATTATTCATCTTCATTAAGCAATGGACATAAATTACGTACTGCCCGCTTATATAGTCCAGATTTTGTTTTAATAGTCGCTACTCTGATGATGTTATCATCACCGGGATGAACTTCAATAACTCGTCCAATTTTCCAGTGCGCAGGAGGTGTATTAATTTCTTTAATTAACACGATAGTCCCTGGTTTGACATTATCTTGTGCTGTTTTCCATTTTGTACGAATTTGGAGATCTCCAAGGTAGTCCATTGACCAGCGATTCCAAAATTGTTATTGTAGCTTTGATAAATACTGCCACCTGGATAATCTATTAGTGGGAATCTCCACGAAGTCAGTATTCGGTATGGCCGTAAGTCGACGACCAATAAGGAAATGAGAAGGAGTTAGTACTTGATAGTCATTAGGGGAAGAAGAAAGCGGGTAAAGAGGGCGCGAGTTAAGTAAACATTCTATTTCAACAATTACTGTTAAATACTCTTCATATGTAAGTAATGCATAGCCTAAAACCCGTTTTAGATGAAATTTAGTTGATTTTACGCCTGCTTCTGCTAGGCCGTTGAAATGTGGTGATGAAGCTGGGGAAAAATGCCACTTAATCCCTTCATAAATTAAAGACTTTTTAAATTGATCTACATTTTTGTTAAGAAATTCAAACATAGTTTTTAAGTCATTATTTGCTCCTATAAAATTACTACCATTGTCACTGAATATGTTATGTGGTTTTCCTCTTCTAGATGCAAATCTTCTAAATGCAGCTAAAAATGCGTTAGTAGAGAGATCAGACACTAATTCGAGATGACAGGCCTTAGTAGAAAAACATACAAATATACAAATATATGCTTTCGTTATTTTGCATCCTCGTCCTTGTCTATCTTTTAATTTAATTGGACCACAATAATCAACCGCACAATTGGTAAATGGTGGTGACGGAGTGACTCTAAACTTTGGCAACTGTGCCATTATAGGAGCAAAAGAATTTGCTGCGCGTCTACGACAAATCACGCAATTTTTTATTACTGTTTTTGCAGTCATACGCGCAGACAATGGCCAAAATCTTTCTCTTATAATAGCAATGAGAGAATTAGGGCCGCAATGTAAATTCTTTGTGTGTTCATATTTAAACAAAAGTTTAGTAAAGTAATGTGATCGAGGGAGTATAATTGGATGTTTTTTCTCATATGCAAGTAAAGCTTTACTGAGTCGACCTGTAAGTTTTATCAAGCCATCATTATCGAGAAAAGGCGTTAATGAATTTAATTTACTACGCTTAGGACATTCCTTTCCCAATAAAAAGGCTTGGTACTCATTAGGAAAACTTTCTTGTTGAATTACCTTTACGATTTTATTAAGTGCATTATTGCGTTCAATTAATGAAAGATGCCCAGTATTAATTTTAGAAGAATTCCGACTATTATTGATGAATCTTAAAACCCAACACATTACTGATACTAGTTTATTAAAATTCGAAAATTTTGAAATTAAATTACTTATTTGGTTTTGAAATTGCACTATTGTTAATATTATAGGTTTTGTAGTTTTTAACTCAGGTATGTCAATATTATTGTCATTGCATTCTGAAAAATACTCAGTGGTACTACATAACCTTTCTGGACCAAACCACCATAAACTATTAGATATTATTTCCTTTGGATATAAACCACGAGATATTAAATCCGCAGGATTATGGTTTGTTGATACATACTTCCACGAATGTGAATTAGTTAACTCCAATATTTTTTAAATACGATTCGCAACAAATGTTTTTAATATGTTAAGTGGAGTACTTATCCATCTTAAAACAACAGTAGAATCGGTCCATAAAATGCAATTATCAAATTGAATTCTAGACGATTTGAGTACTTTATTTACTAACTCTGAAAGTAATACTGCACCACAAAGCTCAAGTTTGGGTATTGTTAATTCTTTAACTGGGGCAACTATGGACTTTGCTGCAAGTAAATGAATTTGCACATTTCCAAATTTGTCTGCTGATCTTATATAACAACAACCACCGTATGCTAAACGACTAGCATCGCAAAAACCATGCAACTCATTTATAATTGAATTCGGTAACCTTGTACAGCGTGGTACTTTCAGATTATTTAATATTTGCAAATTCTCGTTGAATTCTTTCCATTGAATATATAATTCATGTGGTAAGGGTTCATCCCAAGATAATTTAAATTGCCACAAATTTCGCATAAAAATTTTGGTTTACATATTACGGGTGCAATTAGTCCTAATGGATCAAAGAGTTGAGCGATGTATGATAATACATCTCTTTTCGTCAGTGTATTTGGAATTAGGGTTGGATCAATTTTAAAACATAGTTGATCTTGGTAATGTAACCAAGGTAATCCAAGAGTTTTTAATATGTTACAAGAACTATCTGAAACTGTTTGATGTTCAATATTTTTTAATAACGAATTACTAATACTTTGAATTATTTCGGAGCTATTAGATGCCCACTTACGTAACGGCATTTTTGCAGATTGTAATATGTTATAAATGTCCTTTGATGTTTGAATTAATTCTTGGTCAGAATCACATCCGGTTAATAAATCATCTACGTAGAAATCTTGAAGTATAGCTATGGAAGCTTTCGGAAAAATTGCTTGTGACTCTAATCCAAGTTGATGTAAACACCGTATTGCTAAAAAAGGTGCGCTTGATGTTCCATAAGTAATTGTATTTAGTTTATAAGTTTTAATATTATCTTTTGGATCTTCTCTCCAGAAAACTAATTGAAATTGCCTATCTTTATCATCAACAAGTATCTGCCTGTACATTTTTTCTATATCTGCACTTACAACGAATAAATTTTGGCGAAAACGAATCAAAATTGAAAATAGATCTGATTGAATAGTTGGCCCAACCATTTGTAAATCATTTAGTGACTTACCAGATGAAGTTTGTGCAGATGCGTTAAAAACGACACGCAGTTTTGTTGTTAAACTTGATTCACGAATTATTCCATGATGTGGCAAATAATAATTTGGAGTAAAAGGTTCTGACGTAAGTAATGTAAGTAATGTCATATGACCTAATTGAATATATTCTTGCATAAATTCATCATACTTCTTTTTTAGATTAAGATTTCTATTGAACCTTCTTTCTAAACATTGAAACATTTTTAATGCATAATTTTTAGAGTTTCCTAAATGTTGTGTTGTACAATCCTTAAAGGGAATTCGTACAATAAATTGTCCTGAAGAATCACGTTTGTACGTAGATTTAAAATGATCTTCGCACAATGTTTCTTCTTTTGACCATACACAAATATTGGGCACTGATTCTAACTCCCAAAATTTTGCAAGTTGTTCTTGTAATATAAAGTTATCGGAAACCTTCACTACATTACACGCAATAGTATGATCATTTTCTTGTGAATTTATTGATCCTGAAATAATCCATCCTAAAGAAGTATTCTGCAATATAGGTTTATTAAAACCTAAAGAAATTTGACCTTCGCGCAATAAATGCCAAAAGAGAGATGCACCGATTAATAAATCTACATCTTGCGGTTCGTAATAATTTGGATCCGCTAGTTTTACATGATTAGGTATTTTTAAAGAATTGTTTATTAATCTATCAGGTAATCGTCCTGTAATCTTACGCGTAATTAAACAAGAAATTGTTGTAATGAACGAATTAATTCGCGATTTTATTATTAGTTCGCATTTATTTTGTATATTGCTCACTGAATTATTAATTCCTATCACAGATATTTTTGTTGGAATTTTTGTTAGACATAATTTATTAAACATACTTTCAGTAATAAAGCATGATTGTGATCCTGAGTCCAACAAAGCTCTACAAGCAAAGATATTACCTTGTGCACTCATCACATGTACTACCACAGTTGAAAGTAAAATATTAGAATGATTGCAATTACTGCTAATAGTCATACTTATTTCTTCAACATCAGATACTTCATCATTTTCCTGAAATTCTGAAATTTGTCCCACATTTACTGGAGTCACTTCTTCGAAATGTAACAGTGTATGATGCCGTTTATGGCACTTTTTACAAGTATCAGATTTGCATGTTCGACTCGCATGATTAAATTGAATACAATTTGTACACAGACCTTTTTGTTTTACTAATTGGTACCTATCCTGAGGGGACAAATTTTCGAACTGTGCACATGCAAATATTAAGTGATTAGCATTACAAATCGGACAAGATGACGTTTTTGAATGATTTGACACAACCTTATTTGATGTGACATTTAAATTCATTTTAGGTTTACTATTATCGTATGACCTTTGACATTAATTGATTTTCATACAAACGTCAGCCTTTCTTTCTAAAAATGTTAACATTATCTTTAAACTGATCCTGTTGTTGTTATTTGCTTTATATTTCTCCCATTCTTTAAAGGTACATTCGTCCAATTTTTCGGAGATAGAAATCAACAGTAAAATCAGTGCTCAACCGGTACCTTTAGAAGTTGCAAACAACGAACGTTTTTATTTACAGAATCTACTAATTTTCTGATCGCTTCGGATGATTCTGTTTTGCAGTATGGTAACTTCAATAATGATTTTATGTGATCATCAATAAGTACTTCTTCTTTATTAAATCGTTTTAGGAGAAGTTCCCATGCTACAGTATAGTTATCATCGGAAAGCGTGATACTCTGAATGATTCTTAGGGCTTCATCGGATAATGTTGATTTTAAATATTGAAATTTCTGCACCTTAGAAAGATTTGAGTTACTATCTATAATTGCTGAAAAGCTGTCACGAAACTCCAACCACATATTCATGTCACCATTAAACTTTGGTAGCGTTAATTCTGGTAATTTAACATTCAGTGACATTGGCATATTTACAGAGGTTGACGGCAATACATTTTCGATGGAAGAAATAGCTTTTGCTTTAGAAACTGATGAATAAAATAAAGTTTCAAATTCATTAAGCTCTTCTACATTATTTGTAGAAGTCGACCCTATTTCTTCTAGCTGAAGATGAATATGAGTAAATTCCTCAAGTATATTTTCAATTTTATTGATACGTAATTTAAGCTCAGATTTATTGAAATCGTCTTTTAAATCATTAATGTATGATGAGAAGGCATTAAGCTTATTATAAAGAAATTCTCGTTTTACTAAAAGGGATTTTACATATGCTTTGTTTTTATTTGACATTACTGGTCAAAATAAAATTCAGTGCGTTATGAATTATTTCAAAGCAAATTAGAATGATCACTCTTACCTCGCAAAAGAAATTGAGAATTTGTGGAAAGGATATTTGGTCGTTGACACTGTTAGATGATCCTCAAATGGACAGATATTGGATTCTTGTAGCTTCCGATTGAATATTGTTGGTACGAATCGACGAATTGGCGATTCACGTTGTTTATTTATTCGGTAGAATTGATTCTTCGTAAAGCACGAGGTTACTTTTTGCTCGGGCGCCAAATGTTTCTTCTTGCAATTAAAAATGAGAAAAATCACAAATTACGTTTTCAATTCTGTTTATTTTGACAACAACTCAAAACAAGTTTTTTGTTACTATATTGTAATATAACTTGATTTTTAATCAAATTGCGCTAACATTATTTACCTAATAAAAGTTATAAGTTCTATTATCATAGTAATTTGTATAGCCTCGTCGTCCACCTCTAAAATTATGATATCTCCCTCCTCTTCCTCTTCCTCTTCTTGTATTAAAATTTCCTCTTCTCCCCCTTACTTGCCCCCTGTAATTGTTCCCTCCTCCTCTCTTGCTCACCTCCCAATCTCTTTGCTTTCTTTTCTGTAAAATTTATATGTATAGTAATTTTTAAATTAAAAAAAATATAATTTTTAATATAAGTAATTGTTTTTTTTACTTAATTTAATTTTGTTAATAATTAGACTATAATTTATTTATTAAACAAAGTCCCTATCAATAAATTTTGGTTAATGTAATAAGACATTCGTTTTGCACTCATCAAATTATAGAAATTGGGAAATTAAAAAATGTCACATTGACACGATTAAGTTATACTTAAGGCTACCTACATGTTTTGAATATTAGCCTTTTAACATATAACAGTAGTTTTGCATTATTTATTCAGGTAGGTACTTATAAAAATCATATGTGAATTTATAATGTACACATGTTATAGTACAGGGTGTTTTTTTAAAAAAGAGCCATACGACAATGTCAAGGCGTAGAGTTATTTAAAATGGGCCATAGGGAAATTTACATTATATCATTATTTACGGTAATCCTTTCTTGTTTCCTCGCAAATTATATGTCACAGTACTGTAGAAATTGTTTCTGAATCAACAAATTTATTCAGATCAGATATAAACGTATAAGATTGCAGTCGGTGTTCGAATTATTTTTCATCGGCAATCAAACAATACCCGATACTCGGCACTGAACAGCTTGCATACCACTCAGCTATTGGGCCCACTTTTGTAGGAATTGTATAACATGAATACTTTTTCGAACAGCAAATACATTTTTCTGCTTTGTTGATGCAGGGTTGAGATAGAGAACTGTTTGTGAAATGACTAAGCGTAAGGTCAAAATTTGAGAACAATTGGCGCAATTTAAATTTCTCTATGGCCCATCTTTAAAAAAACATCGTGTATAAGGTACAAAAGAAATGAAAATTATTACAATGAAGAGATATTGGTCTTAAAAGTTTTCAAATTTGATTCCAAATATTACAATCTACGTTATAGTTACCAACCTTTTGAATAGCGTAAATCCTTCAAAAAAACTATTTTGTTTGTTTTAATAAAATTAATAGGAAATTGAGGTAAGTGAGATAAATACAAAACGCAAGGATAGATTTGATATTATGGATGTTAATTCAGATACAGTAATTATGAATGAAATGGTCGTTTGTTATAGGTTTAGAAAATTTGGTCAATAAAAAATGTTCGAATTTTTTGGGAGGAGCTTAACTGCATCTGTAGTGTGATGTGAACAAATAATATATATTAATTACCTGACCTCGCGACTCCACCGCATCGGTTTCCGTCTAAAAATAAGATGAAAACGGTATAATTTTATAAATATATAGCTACAGTAGACCTTCGCCAATTCGAACAGGATGAAAGTGTATTATAGGTACGTTATTTTGTAAAGTAAAGTAAAGTAAAGAATAATTCGAACAACAGTGTCAGTATTGTACAATTTTTTCATCGAAATGTGATTACATGATGGGCATTTTGATAATGATGATATGCATTGTTTAGATTTAGAACAATTGTTGTGTTTTGTTTATTCTATTTTGTATCATTTGTAATTACAATTATTTATTTCTTAATAAGTAATTCAGAATAAAATTTTATTGTTATTTTTGTTAATTCGAAAAATTCATTCACTCAAATAATCTCACATCCGGATTAGGTCGGATCGGCAAGTTTCTATTGTAGGTACCTATTGGTGTATGATAAAATGTTTTGCGTGTAAAAATGAAATCACGAAAGATATACTATACAAGTTTTATGTTGAAATTTGATGTCGTATTCTTTATGATTGTCCAAAAATATTTATACTTAAGAAATACAATAGGTATACAACTTGTGGAAAAGATCAAAATGAAATGAAATTAAAAAAATTGTAGAATTTTAAATTTGTATTGTATTGTAAATTTGTTGAATCTTGTAAATTAAAAAAAGTGTATGTAAAAAGTTTAAAAATATGTCTATTTTTTTAATTTACTTAATTCAATTAATAATGAAATTAGATTTTTTTTATATAGATTTGGCTTCGACTGTTTAGTCTTTTCGCTATTCATAGGTTCCAGTTAGATATTATTTACTTACTCGTTCAGATTCGTGTTGACTTTCTATAAAAAATTAAAGTATTAATTTTATTGAATTTTAGAAATGAATCAATTATGCTTACCGTTAACTTGTTCTTCTTCAACCTAAAAATTAAATGGAAATAGTATATTATAAATATATAACATTGTGTTTATGTGTAAAATAAAAGTTGCATGACAAAGAATTAAAATTGAAAAAATGAAAGCATCGAAAATTTTTTGTTTCTAATTTCTCATGTTGAGAGTTGAAGTTTTATAATAAGTTTTTAAACTCAGTGAAATACTAATATTGGGTATGAAGATCTTAGAATATGTATAACTTTAAATTTGTATTGTTTTATAGAATTAATTGGCAATGTGGCATTTTCTGAATATTGTCACATATTTTATATTTATATAAACAATGTGGTTGAAGTGAAATTGGTATTATTGTTAATTGTGTCTTGCGATATTAAGATATATGATAAAAGTAATTTTTTTATGGAACATCCTGTGTATGCGTATGTATTTTATAAAAAACAAATTAAATAATGGTCAACACTAATTACCAATACTATGAAATTAAGGACATTACAATCAATTAAAGTTTTCTATTTGTATAAAATGGTGACAGTTGATATTTTAATGATAAGAAGAAATACGTTAAAAAGTTTAAAATATTTGACATAAATTACTGTGGTTGTAATAATAAAGGAGTTACAAGTTGTAAAAATTTTTTTTTTAAATTTTATGATTCTCAATTTGTAAAGGTTAAGTCTAGTTTTATACTTTTTGGTATATTTTACGTGTTTAAGTATTACCAGTTTGTCTTTGGAATAAATTTAAAATTTTAAATATCATTTATTGGTAGTTAGGTGTTGATTTCACTATATAAATATTTATAATTATTGATGATACGTTACCTCCGTTGGTGGTCCCGTCTCGTTTTCTGTTACAATTACAGATGAGTTTGCTTCGGTTTCTTCAATTTTTAGATTATCATTAATATTTATGTATTATTATTTTATTAATCAATTTCTTACCGTTTGGCATCTAAAATTTAAAATAAATATATCAATAGAATACTTAAACAAAAGATAGATATATGTATGTACCTAAGTAGATTTAATTTAATTTTTTTAATGAAAATAAA